TATCGCCGCTCGGCTCGGCTCGGCTCGGCTCGATTCGATTCGATTGGCCATGCTCCCGTCCTCCGGTTTCCCAGACCCAGGGTGTCGTCGTCGAACCATTCGTCGTCGCGCTTTAACGCAAGCTTGTCTCTGTGATATTTCAGAAAACCGAGGCGTATCGGTCCCCCAGCGATAGACTCGACACCGAGAAACAGTGAATCGAGAGGATCGACCGAACCGTCGTTATAAGGAGAAGAAAACACGAGGAAACTCAGTCGAGAGACGCGAAAACGTCGCTGATATTATTTCAACTTTGACCACTCGAATATTTACACAGTCTCTTATATACATTTGCATATGGTTTCTTTGTCGTTTCACGACCAAGTGAGTTGCACCGTCGAACCTGATCGGGATCCAAAAATCGGAGAGAAGTGCCAATACTGACCAATACTGCCAATTATTTGCGGCTAGTATTTCGTCGCTTCTTTGTTGAACTTTGAGACGTCCTGAGTGTACGTCTTGTTCGCGTTGCTCGAAGGGTTAATTGATCCCTGGGATTAACGAGTGCCGCGGGTCAATGGAACCGCGAGGCGCGACTGGACGACAGAAAAGCGCAGAGCATTGTTTCGCGCTCAAGGTCTGCTAGCCGAGGAATCGCGCGCGTGACTTTCAGGCCCAGACTCGAGGACAAATCGAACGAAAATAATCGCGAAACCGTCGACGAGCACGATGCTGGCGTGCGTTTATCCGGCGGAGAGCTTCAGCAAGTCGAAAACCGTGACGGTGAAGCTACGTCACGGACGATCGAGACGCAAGCCGAAAAAACTTCTATCGGTAAAGGAAAGACCTGTGGACGCCAAGGAGCAGGAATGCAACGAGAACGCTAAGCACGAAAACGAGGTAAGATTTTACTTTTCAACGATGGACGCGTAGCAAGTGTTCTTCGACCATGTTCGATAAGTGTCACGGGTCCCCAATGGCCGCCAACTTTTTTCCAACGCCCTGTTGAACTTCCACGGTGTGCCACGAGTTGGTTAGTTACTTATTCTAGATAAAACTGACGGGACAACTGCACGGCGAGGGAGACGCATTCATAGTTCAACGAAACTACGTCGGATAGAGTTCGCGGAGTAAATAATAGTTACGGGCGCCTTAAACTGTCGCGAGATAACTTTGTAAGGAGCTCGCAGGAACCAGGATTGCCCCACAGGGATTATTTCGATGAAATATCCAGGGTATTTATGCGTTTCCCTCGGAAACTGTCCCTTTTCGTATCTCCGACGAATTTCCTTAATTACCACCGCTTGGAATTACCGTGTCTGGCTGTCTTCCAGAACTATGCAGCGTCTACTACCGATAAGAGCGACCGTACTTTACCATGCGACGTAAAACGTTCCTTTTGAGGGATCGAGTGGGTCGATAGAATTTGACGCTTGGATTCTGACGAGACGACGAGAACCAGACATCGCGGTTGGGGTCAATTAGTTCGTTCCAGGAAGCTCTGGGCGAGATTTGCAACGGGCTTTCGTTATATTTGATTGCAGGATTCGCGTTTAACCCGCTCTGGTACGAGGAAGCTCGGTATACTCGTTCCGGGGGACTTGGCGTCTTGATCGCTAGTTTGTTCGTGACGTACATTTCGCGCGACAGAACTTTACGTAACGGGGAAGTAAAAGAATCTTCCGAAATTCAGCCGTACAATTTTTCACCCTTCCGAAGGAACCCGGCCAGAAGGATCCCATAATCCTCCAAACCCTCTCGTGAATTTCTTGTCGTTCCTTGCGACATTCGATATTGCATTCCTCGCGGCTACCACATTCCTAGCAGTCGCGTGAATCGCTCTTCTCCCGCTGTAATTGTTTATTCATTATCTCGCGTGCATGCGCCCGCGAAACGGCCGGATATAAAGAGAATAACATTCGGAGTTAACTAGAATCGCCTCTGTACAGTCCGATGCACGCGTGAAAGATTCGAATCGAACGCCAGAACTAATTAACATCGGGAATGTTGATGCACCGTTAGTAAAAACCACTAATAAACGATTGATAATAAAATCGAGGTTGATCGAGAGGAGGAGATTCGACGGTTACCGACGCTTAGGACCCGAGATAGACGTTGAATATGTAGCAGGCTCAAAGCAAGATACTCGACGAGCATGTGTTAAGGCGATTTAGAACGAGATTATAGTCACCAGTTTTCTATTCACTCGGCGTTCAAATAGGATTACGGTTCCATTCATTCGGTAATCCATATTGTATGAGTTAGAACACGCGTTCGAGCGTCCTCGTGCGCTGAGAAAAAAAAATGGCAACGGTAATTTCGCGTATAAAAATATGAAACGTAACGATCTTGGAGAGATTTGAAACGTAAATCCTCGGGTTAAGAAACTCTTCGAAGAAGATGGAACTCGATTGAATAAAATGGCGTGCGTTGTAAAATCGTTGGCGTGGTAGATGACATAGGGAAATTCTCGGAGGAGTAGAATTTTTTTAACGAGAACGCTCTGGAAAGAGAAATCATTGGATGAGAGGTGCAAGCAGCTCGAAGGGATTTAATCTGAATCCTAATTTTCAGGAACGAGATATAAAGTAGGGTATAAGGGTTTTAAGTCTCGGGGAGGTCTGATCCAAACATGACTCGCTGGGAAAAATTCTTCCTTGCGTAAAAGCGCGATTTCAATCGGCAGAATCGCCCATTTTCCTCGAAGAAGAAACGAAATTATTCAGAGCGAAGCGTAAAGACCGCGACGGATTTAAATCGTCGGGTTAAGAGACGGAGAATAGAATAGAAGTTTCCAGTTCCTTTTGAAGACGTATCCCCCTTGGTCCCAAGTTGGAAAGGTTACATTAATAAAGATAACAAACGTCGAGTAAGAACGCGAGGTCTGTCGTTTTGGATCGTCGCTGATTCGTCTTCTTTCTTTGTCGATGAATTCCGAGTGCCTTCGAATTTTCGTGTATCGTTAGCAATGCTGAACTCTTGATTAATTGATCGATGAAGGTTCCACGGACCTCTATGAGCAAAGAGTAGCAATAAAACCTCCCGTTGCGTATTATAAATTCTGGTGGCGACTCTGGGGGTTGCATGGCGCGACATTCGAAACAGGTCCCCATGGAGGAAGCCCCTAAATTAATTTCCATGCCGGACGAAACGATAAGCACACCCGCGTGTATACGAGAGTTTCGACTAGGAACGATTTAGAACGACCAGCGCACCCTCTATCCGAAAGCGTTGTTATCTGGGTTATCACGACGAGGCAGATATTCTATTTCGTGGCGAAAAACGATATATTGATTGCTGTTGTAGCTGCATCGACCATATTCTTGTTATTACTATTTCCAAAAACAAATACCCAAGTATTTTGTAGCTCGCGACTGACTTTCAATTTATGGCAAGCCATCGCTTTTCCGCGCTTCATTTTCGACTCGATTTCCCCGATTCGAGATGTCGTTCACCGCCGAACCATTGTCATCGTTCGCTAGAGAGAGCCTTCGGTTAAGGAGGACGCGTAGAAGAGAGATTGAAATTTTAATAGAGTCCGGCGCGCGTTCAATCCAATTTCTTCAATTCGTGAAACGGGGGACGTTTAATTACGAAATCGTAGCAATGCGACCAGGGAAACGGTCGAACGAGCACGGTCGCAATAAAACCTTAATAGATGACAATGAAAGTTGGATAGATCGTGATCCTCCGCCAGAAGACCACCAACTGTTTCCATTCTAAACAAACAACGCGTTTAAATCGAGCGTTTCCATGGCGTGCGTTTAAAATTTTTGCGCGCGTATCCTGGCCAAGACCTGCTTGCTCGACCAGCCAAGTATGCTGCTGCAGAGTCGGTACCAGAAGGTCCTAATTACAGGAAAACCAGCTGGCTAATCCTAGCACCGTTAGGGTAATTCTTGCACGTTCTCGTGCCAATCTCGAGGATGGAATTACGAAATGCCGATTGCCATCGAACGCAAGCAGGAAGGTCTTGAAAACGCAATAAATAGCACACTCTGCAAAATGGACTATTTACAAAAGAAAAAGTTAAACGATTAACGGATGTAACTGGGGTATACCCACCTCCGAAGCGGCAACGCGTAGACTCTCTATTTCATCCCACGGTGTAGCAGCGAGTATCCGTCGTTCGACGAGTTTTCGTTGATGTGCGAAGGTTGCCCAGGAGTCCTTGTCGCTGTGGAATTCGAAGGGCCAGGTTGGCCTTGGGATTCTACTTGGTATCGGCGGCAGGTCCTCTCCAGATGGTGCACGAGGTCAAACAAAAAGAACTGCGAACGCTCGCGATACGTCCGTCCGCTGACTCCAGACCTACCACTGTGCGTCTCGCTTTTTCTTTTTCGCCACTGTTACACCTATCCCTAGCGTGGCGGTTGGTTGCCTTCCGTTTTTCCATTTACTTCTGTCGGCCGGTCGCGAAATCGCTTCTTCAATTCCTTCTAGGCCCCCCTTCTCCCGCGAGTCGATGTTACGAAATGGCAGGCTGACATTTAAAACGCTAGGCATCCCGCGACATCGACCACGGAACGATTTTATTGTGTAGACCCGATTATCTGTAGGATAGGATCTGAGGAATCTGCGTGGGAGGTTTGATCCTCCACTTTGTTTGGATAGCGTAGATTGGGGGAAAGATCGATGAGCTCTGGGAGCGATTGCACCGCACAGGAGGACTGAGGGCAAACATTGCAGTCAATCTTCGCGGTGGTTTATCGAGAGCCCGGTGAGAGAAAGCCATTTTTCGGGATTTGGTAGTTCGCGGGTTCTTTCGGAACCCTAGGACTCTGGAGCGATCGAGGGATCGCGAATCGTGGGCCCCCAACGGAGGATTTCCGTGTTCTCTGAACTGAAATTAAAGAATGCAAACGGCTCGTCAATGAGATCGCGGTCGAGTCGCTAAATCAAAGCTCTTTTTCTACAGTTCGAAGAAGCTAAGCTGCTCTACCAACGGTGGCCACGGATATAGCGTCTCGCAGTAAACGTTTGCGAATCCTTTTCCTGACGTACTCTTCGTTTTGTTTCAGTTACCAGTGGGCGGGGGTGGTGCTGTGCTGGTGCTCAGCGAGCTTGAAAGCATGGCGGCCAGGCAACAGCGGGAAATCGCCCAGCAGAGGCGCCTCCTGGAGCAGAGAGAGGCCCGTCTAGCCGTGCTTCGAGGCGCACAGGTGAGAACTGTCGTAATTTCTGTCAGATCTATTTTTGGTTACGTGCTATTGGGTGTGCCTCACCCCAGAAGGCTCTCAGGCTCTCCCTATTTCTGCCTCTAATTCATTCCTTTCGCTCGAATTCGATGATCGCACGATGGCCCTCGATGAGAGCGGGTCGAGAACGTCTGGAGGCGTTCGAATCAGCGATTAAACGCAATTTTAATCGAGCCACTCGATTCGCTCTACCTGCATCCTTTAACGAGCTAGTTGAGCGCGTAACGCCCCCTGGCCTGGAGAATTCTTCTTGAAGAAGACGGGTGTGATGTGTGTCAGGCTTCTTGTCTCGCGTACTTACTCCTTGACGAGCGTGTCGAGGAGCCTCGGGTAACGAGCCAAGTGTCTCTTCTTCTACGATATTAACGAGATTAAACGAGACGGCGATATTTTACTACAGGGTGGTCCATGAAATTGGCACCAGTCGCATTTAGTTTTCTGTTGCGGTTGAGAAAGAATGTTGGAGGAAGATAAAAACGCACAGATCTGAAATTTTGTATTAATAACTGCAGTTGGAAAGGGGACACGATCCGATGAGATGAAGAGATATGTCTCGTTCCACGTCCGCGGACCTCCCTATACACCGACTGGCTCGAAACTCCTTAATCTCTCGGCAGCTGATACGACGCGTTGATCGCGTTAGTAGCGAGTGCGAAGTCGAGTTTAACGCGTCATTGAGTCGCCAGGGAAAAGCCAGTAATGCGATTTGAATTAAGTCCCGACGGAACTGGTTATAGCTTATCCCATATGTACGCTGGATCCAAACGATCTTTAATTAATCGATCGTTCTTTTAAACGACACAGGACGAACAATTTGTACGATTCGTACTCGCGTGTATCCGCGATAGATAATCAGAGAATCGCAATTGCACCTTGGAATCGTTCGAGTTCTTTTTGCGCGGCTGTCCAGCAGCTTCCTGTATATGAACACCTAAGCGCGGTCGTTATCGTTGATAACGCTCGCAAGTTCTCAAATTATTCGCTGGCTCACGATTGGAGCATTTATACTTGCTGGCCGTGTTCGAAGTAATAGCATGTTATGGTGAAAGTAATAGAGCAATGAATCTTAAACACTGTTCTCCATGTACTGGATAAGGTAGGAGCTTGTAAACGTGCTTAGGCCTTGTCCACACGAAGCGACTTACGCGCGACTCGAGACAGGTAGCATCCAGTCAGTATTCAGAATGGAGTCGAACGAAGTTGTCACCAACCGCACTACATACACAAACCGCAGCCCGTATCGATTCCGCATCGATGATTTTGCCGTAGTAAAGACCACCGGAACTCATCAGTTGGCTAGAGATGAGGTGGTCCGTTTCAGCGAGACCAGAAACCGCCGATGTGTGTGCTCAGACACGTATCACGCGAGGAGAATCATCAGGCTCCAACGTCTTCATTCCTCGCTCGCGAACGACTCCAAGTAATAGGCGGATCCCGCGACAGGACTCAGGCGGGATTTCCGAGGACTTGAATGCCCTAATCCTCGCAGGCTCTATCCTCGAGGACGAGCACGAACCCGATACCACCGAAGATGGAACCTTTTATTCGGCTCCTGGCTGATCTTCCATCCGATCCGCTTCGTCCTCGACTAGGACAGCTTTCGTTCTAAGCTGAAAACGGGGAGGGATAGAGTAGAGGGACTTTTTAACGGTCTACGAGGTACATCGTGGAAGCCAAGAGCAATCTTATTTTCCGCGGTGAAAGGCTGCTGGTAATTTCAGTGGCTATGCCCGTGGATTACCAGACGCTAGCTTCGATAACGACGAAATTCCCAGCGCGTACGCCGTAATTCACCTAGCGTTGTTCACTGTTTCAGGAGCCAGCACAGCAGGACAAACTCGCCAGATTAAGGCACAGGCTAGACCAACAACAGAGCAAGCTGAATCGGCTGCGATTGCTTCGATCGCAGACCGACCAGTCACGCGCCAACAACGCCACGCTGAGTAAGTCGATTAATATAAGTTCGTTGATTCCATCGAACCTAACCGCGCCAGCCGTTTTTCTCCGTCACCGCGCCGTTCGCGTTACTCACGGTCGACGTTTAACCCTCCATCGAAAGGGCGAGACGGTTGGAGCCTTTGATCGGCGAAGCAAGGGCGATTGAACTCTGACCGTAAGACGGATGGCGAATCGATTCGCTTGTCTCGCATCAGTAATAGATCGACTCGTCACGAAGCCATGAAACTAGCGAAATCGTAGGCGGTAACCTTGGCCTAGTTTAGACCTAGCTCGATCTAGTGCAGTGCGAGGATTTGACAAATGAGCTCCTTCACGCTTCATAGAAGGTTCAATTAGAGTTTAGAGATGAGAGTCAAAGTTCCTTGAGAGAATATTGGGACGTTACAACTGTCTGGCTTGGTTGTGTCTGGTAGCGTTTAGATTCCAGATTCTGTACTTTTCTCGCAAAAAAATTGTCAAACTTCTTTTCGGTCTCTCTCTCTCTCTCTTTGCTTCAATCGCTTAAACCAACGAACGGAAACTCGTGCTTTCGGATTCTGTTCGATCCCTTTGTCAGATCCCTTATAATACCGTTCCGGTAGCTCGCCTATAAAACGGACGATGATAAAGTTCGTTAATCCAATTCGTCGGAGTCCAGGCGCCCTGGCATATTGCGTTCGAAAGTGAAAGTTCGATCCCCGTTTGCGGCTAGAACGAACACGAAGCCAAGAAAATAGCGGACAGGGACCGACTAGAAGCGGAATCAAGAGGAATTCTCGGTCCGGGGAACCCTTTTGGTATGGGTACGGCGATCGTGAATATATCAATATGGCTCACGTTGGTCGGAGAAAGAGGGAAAACGAAAGGCTTGGTATCTATGCGTCGACGAATATCGCGTTTGCCGAATTCCACTTTTACCAGAGAGACACAGAATAGTCCAGTCATTCTAGATATAGTTATGAAAGTAATTTATCATTTAATTTCACCGAACATGCGAACGTTAACAAACAATCGACACGATAAAAATATTTTCACAGCTTCTCGCGCATTTTCGTCTCGAGCGAATGGACCAGGTCTCGTAATTTCTACAAGGATTGAACGTAATAGAATATCGAAGGACCTCGAGTCATGAGCGCATGAAATATGGAATTCAATAAAGATTTCGCGGATAGAATGAGTCCCGTCGAAGTCGATGGTCCTCTCGGGACTCGACTGCTTTCGGATTCAGATGATACATGGGCCTATCTTCGCCGATAATCCGCCGCTCCTTTTGGTTCGATCTTGGAAGGTAATACTCGTTGATTTTCTTGGACATACCTTCGCCCAAGATGGCGTCTGGTTTTATGCGTTATCGTAGATGTTGGATCGTCGAGACTTTCGCGGGATAGACCAAAGCGATACCATTGTGCGGCTCTAGCGCCTGAATGGCCATTTTCCGAGAACGGTACGTTATCCACGCTAACTCCGTTCTAGTATAATTTTCTTCGACCTCGCGCATTTCCGTATGAACGCAGAGTCTGCCAATTTAAACATTGCAACCGCTGATATCTCTCTTGTTCGGAGCATCATCTAACTTGGTTCGAGCGAAGTTGGAATTGCCAGTGGAGCATAAACGCGATCGCATCTGCAGAAACCGTCGCTCGTTACGGAACCAATGTTCCTTCCACCCTGCGTGAAAAGGGTTCCAGGGGTTGCGGAGGCGGGGGGGGGGGGGGGGGGAGGTACGCGCGTGATTCGAGTGTCCGTCGATTCTACTCACGGTTCGGCTCCTCCGCCGGTTCTCGCTTCACTCTTACCCGTTGTCACGGCAAGTTTTCCTATTCCACGGCCGAGGATACATCGGTTCCTACAACCGAGTTCCGGGGAGTCCCGTACAGTCGCGTGTGAGAGATCGTCGAAATGGCGCAATCGAGCGAGGCACGGGGCGGTCTGAAACGAGAACCGAGGCTGAACGGAGGACTTCTCTGATCGCGTTACGGCCAGAAATTCGCGTAATCTATTTCCTATAGAGTCGGTGGAAGTTGCCTTCTGCTCGTCAATAGGGATTCGTTCCAGTTCGAGGAACAAACTTTTACTCGGGGTTTGTCGGAGTTTCCGCTTTCTTCTCGGCGTCCCTGGCCTCCTCCTGGTGTTTCCTTTTATTTCTCCCGTCGTCCGACTTTCATATCGCAGGGTAGACTCGTCTTCGAAAAAGGTGTTCGCCTCGTCTCTTTTCAGGGAATACATTTTCACGGTTTGATGTCGCGTGGTGTCACTCTGTACAAGGAGCCGAATATCCCTGACTGGTCAGCGTCGATTTGGTTTACGGGAGATCGAGGACTTCTGGAAAATAAATCGAAGGGATCAATCCGTCTCAGCGTACGTGTCGCGTTGACCTCTTACCACCAGACACGGTAATCGAGTTCCGGTCTGTCTGCGAATCATAGTAGTTATAGCTTGATTACGAGATTGCTCGACAAACGTTTCCATCGAAGCCCCAGAACAACCTCGGATTGATCGTCGATCACGAGATAGGGGTGTGGTCCGTTCGACGCGTAAATAATCCTCGGATAATCTTCGAATCCACCCCTTTCTCTACTTAATTTTATTCGCGGAATATAACGACAGAAATAATTTAATTCGTCGATTCTCGAACATATTTAACAAATAAAACAAAGAGTTTTTAATTATGGAAGTGTGGTAATACCGGAATAATTGTTGAAACGACTTCAATTAAGTTTCTCCGATAGACGTCCATTATTAAATGTACGTATTGAAATTCCAAACATAACTAAAAGCGTTAATGGAACAATTATTGCAATCAGCTCGTTATCACTTGGAGAAGGCTCGAACCGTGTCACCCACGTGGACCAATAATGGAAATAACAAGGACGGCGGCAAGTTACGCGAATTCATACTTTATGTTACATTTAAATTGCTGTAACGTTCAAAATTAACGCACGAACACCTAACTTTAGTGTTAATAGCGGCAAAATTATGAGAAAATACATGTCTGAAACTTCTCGGGAACTGGTTAAAACGTAAATTGTATTTGTTACGTGAGCGGGGAGTTCCAACGTCTCCGACTGCAGAGCGAATCCCAAACTTTATATTACCCAATATAGCCGAGAACAGTTGACGTTTATACGCGTAGAAGTACGTTCTCGTACTGGCAATCGTCATACCTGAGAGAATTTGCAGGTCGCTGCGTTGGGACCTTGAGTACTTTTGCTTTTGTATTATTGCTCTTGAATGGTAATCCGTAAAGTCCTCGTTCTAGTTTGTGGAATTCAAATTATTTTTCAAGTCTTTGTAGAGCAATGCTCGGTATTAAGAACTCTCGATCGTGTGCAAGCTTCTTCGCGGGGAGTCACGAGGGCCATCGGACCCCGCAGGTTACCGACCGTATGCATTAGATCCATGCCGTTCATGGAACAATTTTTGCTCGTTAATTTCCGCCAGAACTGATCTTTTGTTACGTGGCAAAAGTTAATTAAAGTTGAAAAAATTCATGCAAGCTTTTTTTGTGAAAAGAAAAAACGAGGAAAAGAATACGCACACGGGTAGAAAATATGTACGGTAGTACCTCGATACAACGACGGATTTCTCACCACTGTTTGTCTTTAATTATCGCGACCCGCCGGTCGACTGGCTTGACTAACGAATATTTAAACAAAAGTCGGTCAGCTGCCATATACCCGGTAGCGACAATTTTTATACGTCTCGGTGTATGTCCGCGGTAGTATCTCTAATGGATCGGTGAAGTTTTCTCACTGAAAACGAATCCAAACATGACCGCGTTCCGACTATTTTTAATTATATGTTAACAAATGTAAACATTTCCAGTTATGTGTAATTAAAAATAGTACGAACGGGGTCGAATTCGAGTTCATTTTTACCAGAAAAACACTACGAACTCGTTCTAATTATAAAATTCAGTTCCATTTACCGAGCCCTAAATAACTCGAGGCGAAGAATACCTCTCTTCGATCAAAGGGAAAAAATTCCAGCACCGACGAGGTCGAGTTACGTCCCTCGAAAAAGTCAGGATATTTCACTAAACGATTCGATTCCAAGGTACATCGATATTACGACCAGGGGCATCTGTCTCGAGTTTACTCCACGATATTTACACCAAAATATATTTCTTGTCGTCGATCGCTTCGCCTTGGGGCTACTCTTTTCTCGACCCCGGACACTGCAGGATTTCATTTCCTGGCTATCGCTCCGGTGATGCCGCGCGAGGGGCGGTTCACAAGACCTCGGGATTTTTTTTCAACGGAGTAAATCGAACAAGAAGCTGCCGCAAAAAACCAGCAGACGCTACCCGTTATCGGACGAGTTCGTTTTCCCTCGAATAGTTTCCACTTTGGCGCTTAATGGTCCAACTTTTCGCCAGGGAAGGGGACAGACCGGTCAATCCTAATTATCGACGTTCTAAACGCCGCTAACTGGCGAACACCGCGTTATAGTTGGCCATTCGACCCATTCACTGTCAGGCAAATTTAAAGCGTTTTGCCTTGAGCGGCAAGATTTAATACGGATGATATTTAACAGTTGCTCGTAATGGCGCAAACTGTGAAATAACATCGCGTATAATGTGGTTTCTTCCCGATTCACCAGATATTAAAGTCTTCTTAATTTTGCTTTAAATACCAGTGGTCCAATTTGGAAGCAACGTAGCTAACCCAACCCCTATAGGTTAACGGTTCCCCTTAATTGCATCGTGCGCCATATGGTGTGAATCTAAAATCACAAGTGTAAGATATGTAGTAAGTAATGTAGAATGACCCAGTGTAATGGGAACGCTACAGTTAAATTAATTACGTTGCATAAACGTCGCATCCGTGGATGACAAATGAGTTAGCGGAAAAATTTCTCGGCAGATATTTTTCCGGAATAAAAGACGTCGCTCGTCATTAATTATTTGCGAGTTGCTCCGAATGAAAACAATTCCATGCTTTAATTATTTTTATAATTACGTGCCGCGCAATAATAGATATTATTATTACTGACTTCGTTTAAA